TTGTTGTTGTTTTTGTTTTACATTTTATGTATTTGGTACAGGGTCTCACTATGTAGCTTAGACTCATAGTGATCCTCCTGTTTTCAGCCTCCCTAGCACTGGAATTACAGGCCTGCACTACCATGCCTGGACTCAGCGGCCAGCTCAGAACACCCTGGGGGTGGGGCCGGCATGGCATGGGGGACAGGGGATCAAACCCTGGTCCCTGCACTTGCCAAAGCAGGCACTTAGTCCACTGAGCTATCTCACTGGCCCTCTGAGCAGGTTCTTGATATTGTCCCAGAAAACCATTTCAGGATATGTCAGTAAGAGGCACAGGCTGATTTATTAGGCAGAGTTAAAAGTAAGAGAAAATCAAGGAAGGACTCTAGCTTGAAGAGCTGGGGCAGGCCCAGCTCTGAGGCAGAGGATCAGGCTGGCCTATCAACAGAGGCATGAGACCAGTTGTTATAGGTTTCTTGGGGTGGGCTGGGTCTGGCTGATCATGAGCTCAGCTCTGATTTTGCAAGATGGCTCAGGAGGAATCCTTATTGCTTAATCCTGTCTCCATGAGATGAGTGCTTCTGCTGGGGGCTATCTCGCTCTTGCGGAGGCTCTGCCGGAATCCAGGATAGCCACAGGTTTAAGACAACAACTGAAGACTTCCGGGTTCTCCTTGGTGCTCAAATGGCCCTGTACATCTCTTATCTTTGTGTCATGGGCTTTGAAGCAGAGTTGAGGTAGGTTATGTAAGTTAATGAGGACTTATCAACTTTGTATTTCTAGCTTTTAGACAGGTACTCTCCAAGTGATCACCATGCCCATATGCAGAGCTGGCAGTGATCTGAGACACAACACTTTAAAGCAACAAAGGACACAGGTGCAAAATGAAAGTCACACCTTGGCCTGCCTCCTCCCCAAGCTGGGGATTGAACTTGGACCTTTCTACTGAGCTACATCTCCAGCCTTTTTTAATTTTGAGACAGGGGCTTGTTAAGTCACTAAATTGCCCAGGCTGGGTGCAAATTTGCCATCCCCCTGCCTCTGTCTCTTAGAGTGCTAGGATCACAAGATTATGTCCCCTCTCCAGGCTCTGCGTATACCTATCATTTAGATATCTGTAGGCCCAAGCAAATGGTCACTATTTTTCTTGTTGCTTTTGTTTTAGTAAAAATACCTTTAAAGTCTCTAAGTCAGAATAGAACACAAATCATGCTTTTACTGAATAACAGATTGAGGGCTCATGAATGTGTTTATCCTTTTACCTATTGCAATGTCTGTCTGTGTCAGTACAATGTCATTTTCTGCCATAAGCAGTCCCCTGCTGAGAGGATGGTGGTAGTGACCGTGGTGGTTGTGATGATGATTATGGCATTGATATCAGTTACAGTGGCAGTGGTGATGGAGGTAACTATGTATTGTCTCTCTGGCACCTGAGTTCCTTGACATCTATCTCAATTTTGTTACTCCTCACTCTTTGGCTTTCAAGGAAAACCTTTAGGGTTTCCTGTGCAGCAGAGAAAGACAAGGTAACTCACAAGATGTTGCTGCTCTGACGAGGACTGAGAGGGTCCTCCTGGCCTCAGTGGTGGAAAGGTAAGACCCTGCCCTCACCCAGTGCAAGGCACTCACTTCTCCCCAATCCAGAAGCTCTACTAGGCCCTCATGAACACTCCGCTGGTGAAAGGATGGCCAACTACGTGTGACCACAGGGAACCCTAAGGCCCCTGAGCTATTGAGCCATTCCTACTCATCCAGCCAGGCAGTGAATCCTGTGGCTGCTCTCTTCTCTAGAGATTTCCCACAGACCTCTGTTTCTCATTTCAGTTCTAAGGGAGCTGGGGAGATAGCTCAGTAGGATAAGTGCTTGCCTGGCAAGCACAAGGGCCTGAGTTCAATCCCCAGTTCCGCAAAAGAAAAAAAAATCTCATTTCAGTTCTAAGCCCTGATGTGGGACTCTGCCTCCTGGCTGTTCCTTAGCTCAGATGATGGAACAGACCACAAGTTAGGAGGAGCACTCAGTGCACTTCTCTTATTCCCTAACAATTTTTAAACACATGGTAACCTAAGAAAGCATATCTGTGAAACATCTCCTTATAAATCTGTTTGTTTTATTCCTTTAGAAACTATGTTACATAATTACATAGATGTAACTTAATTTATTTAATCAGATTTCTTTTTAGAGAAGGGTCTGTTATGTGTTGCCTAGGCTGGTCTTAAATTTCTAGGCTCTTGAGACCATCTTGCCTCAGTGTCCCAAGTAGCTAGAACTCTAGACTTATACCACCATGCCACTTGTTTTGTTTTCTTTTTTGGTGCTAGTGATAAAACCCAGGACCCTACACATGCTTCACAAGCTCTCCCAGTGAGATACACCCACAGCCTCCTCAGTTTTTAATTTCTAACATCATATAATATATCATCCTTGGAGATTATTCATCTTCATGCATTATCACTACCCTCTAAATTTGCAGTGTATGATTCACAAAACTGTGATAATAAAAATAACCTTGCTGCAAATACTTATTATGAGTATCTATTAAGTGCAAAGCCCTGAGCTAGGGTATGTTTGTTAGCTTATTAATATTTACCAAGGTCTTGCTTTTTGCCCTGATTTACAGATAAGGAAACTAAATCTTGGAAATGTTAAGTGACTCATTCAAAGTCCCACAGCACTGGGGATGCAGCCAAGTTCCAAGCATTCATGCTTCCTCCCAACACGCACCACCCATGGAGAATGCACAAGGTCAGCCTTCCTACCTGTGCTTCACCCAATGAGCAGTACTAGCTACCTGGGCCACAGAGTCTTCTGTTTCAGTCACCTCTTCCTCCCTCCCTGCAGAGCAAGAGAACAGATGGGATAATGTATGGGGAAGTACTTTAAAAATTATAACATGCCACATAAATGTAAGAGATTATTATTGAGTACACAGATAAGCTTGTTTATTTCAAGCACTTTTAGTCCCTTGACAAATGGGACAGATATGTCTAGAGACCTCATCAAATTCCCAAATTAGATACCGCTGACACCATATAATTTCTCCCATAAAATGCCATAATGTGTCACTAAAAAATGTAAGTGACCCTTTAAAATATTTAATGATTGTATAAACACAGGCATCAGGCTATTTATAAAGATATAAAGCTATTTGTAAATGTTGTCTTGAGCACTTACTGAAACTGTTATGTGAATTACTTCTTAATATTTTTTTTAAACTCAGGGACAAGCTCTGACTAAATTCTACAATTTTTTCAATTTAAATTTCCCTGTTTTCTGTCTTAGAAGCATCGTTTTCTTGCACCTTTCCGGGTTTTCTTCACTTCTCTCATAATAGTTTTCTGTGGGAAGCCATTTTCATAGAGAAGCAGACTTTCTTTCTAATCATTTGTCAATGATCGTAAAGTACTAGATAATATGTTGACTCAGAATGCTGCAAATTTAAGGAGAAAGAAAATAGCAGAATAGTATTTGGTAGCTAAATTTAGTTTCTCTACTCTTTAAAATAAAATAAAATTTAGTTTCTTGGCAATTTAGAATTCAGATACTTTCTGGAAAATAACAACTTGTTAAAGAAAAAGAGAGAAGCAGATTGCCAGGAATCAGGAAGGAACCAATAGGAAAAACTAGAAGCTACACAGAAGTTGGAAAGAGGGTCCACAACCCAGAGAAAAGAAGAAAAGACTTTTTTCGACTTTCTCCCAGCTCTCATGACTCCAGGGGGTAAGGATAGGGATAATGAGGTTCCCTGGAAGCAAGGTAAGAACCCAGGGCTGTGAGATCTAGGGAGAAACCACAGCAGAGCCTACAGCCTTTGTGAACTGTAGGGGATTTGCTCTGAGGCTAATCCTTGCATATAGTGAACAACAGCCAGAGAGTGATTCAAGGGTGGCACTCACCATAATGCCAGAGAGTGCTTGATCAGGTGGCATTTCAGGAAGGGGTTGCTTATTTAAATCTGACACTCAGAACAACTAACAAACAACTTCACTTGGGGGTTGCTAGTGTTTCTCTCCCACCGTGACTGGATGAGAGACAGCCATGGTCAGGACATAAACTAGAAAGAGTTTAAACTCAGGCCAAGTAGGACACAAGCCCCATATCCTTCAATGAGAAGCCAAGCCCAGCTTGAGTCATACTCAAGCAGCTGGATTTGAAAGTGCCTTCCAGCATTTAGTACTTGAGCCTGTGCCCTGCTGCCAAAACCCAGTGAGACCTGAGGTCTGACTATGTTCACTGTCCACCAAAATGAGCAAGGACACATCTCAGCATGGGCATTGTCACAGCCTAGGGTGAGCAGAGGGGCCTCCAGAAGAAGGAGCGCCCCTCATAACCCCACAAGCTGTTTATGGCAAACCAATGGTCAATATTATATTAAATAAGAAAAAGTTGAAAGCTTTCCCTCTAAAATAGAAAACAAGACAAAGATAACCACTATTACCACTAACATTCAACATAGTTCTGCAAATACTGACCAGAGAAATCAGGCAAGAGAAAGAAATGAAAAGCATACAGATAGAAAAGAAGGCATTCAAATTATCATTATTTGTAGAAGACATGATCTGTTACATAGAAGACCCAAAAATTTTCACCAAAAGATTCCTACAATTTATAACCAGATTCAGTAGCATAGCAGGATACAAAATCAACACATAAATATCAATAATGTTCCTGTACACAAATAATAAGCTCACCAAGCAAGAAATCAGGAAATAGTACCTTTCATAATAGCATCAAGAAAAATTAAATACCTAGAAATTAACCTAACCAAGGAATACAAGACCTCTACAATAAAAACTACAATACTCTGAAAAAGGAGATCAACAAAGACCTCAGAAAATGGAAAGATGCCCCCTGTTCTTACATAGGCACAACCACGATAGTCCAAATGCTCATATTCAAAAACTGACATACAGATTTAACATGATTCCAAAACACCAATAGCATTCCTCATAGAATTAGAAAAAGACAATCCTAAAGTTCAAATGGAATGAGAAGAGACCTAGAATAGCAAAAGCAAACCTGGGCAACAAAGACAAAGAAAGAGGAATCACAATCTGGGCTTTAAGTTATACTATGAAGCTATAGTGATAAAAACAGAATAGTAGGGCTGGCCAGATAGCTCAGCAGACTAAAGTGCCTGCTGAACTCAGGGACCAGGGTTCGATCCCTGTCATGCTGTGCTGGTCCTGGCCCTGCCTCCAGGATGTGCTGAGACATCGACTGAGACTGGGCATGGTGGTGCCCACCTGTAATATGTGTAGTGAGGCTCTATAGGCTCTGTACTAAATATATTTTTTTAAAAATGGTTTGGCAAACAAAAACAATTAGATCCATGGAACAATATGCAAGATTTACACAATTCTTTTTTTTTTTTTTTTTGATTTATGTATTTGGTGCAGGGTCTCACAATACAGCTCGAGCTCATAGTGATCCTCATGTTTTCAGCCTCCCCGGCACTGGGATTACAGGCATATGCCACCAGGCCCCAGACTGGGTCACTGACTCAGTGTGTCCTGAGACAGGGCAAGTGCAGCATGCAGTATCAGGGATGAACCCTGGTCCTTGCACTTGTCTAAGCAAGCAGGCGCTTAGGCTGGTAAGCTATCTCACTGGCCCTTTACGAACAATTCTAAGCACATTCAGCAACCTAATCTTTGACAAAGGGGCCAAAAACATATATTTTTTAACAAATGTGCTGAGGAAACTGGCTATCCACATGTAGAAGATTGAATCTGGACCCATCTCTCACCATGAGCCAAACTGAAATCAAAATGTATTAAAGATCTAAATAATAAAAGAGAAAAACTTAACCTGCTAGAAGATAAAATAGGCAAAACTCTTGAAGACACAGGCACATGCAAGGACTTTTGAACAGAACCCCAACTACACAAGAGATAACACCAAGAATCAACAAATGTGATGATATTAATTTTTTTTAATCCCACCAAAGGAAACAACCAACAGAGGGAAGAGACAACCTACAGAATGGGGACCAGGAGAGGGAAGGAGCCAGCTACTCCTCAGATAGCGGGCAAACATCTAGAATATATAAAGAACTTAGAAAACACCCCCATAAAAGACTCCTGAAATGAAAAGATACTTCTCAGTAAAAGAAATATAAAGGGACAAGGGACAATAAATACATGAAAAAAAATTTCAACATGTCTGGCCATTAGAGAAATGCAATTGAAAACAACACTGAGATTTTATCTTACTCCAAAAAGAATGGCAATCATCAAGAAATCAGATAACAAATGCTGACAAGACTGCAGGGGGTGGAGATGGGGGAGTCCCCTTCATTGTTGGGATGCATAACCACTACAAAATCAGTGTGGAGATGCCTCAAAACATTAAAACAAGAAATTCCATTTGACACAGCTATTCTCCTCCTAGGTTGTGGAGTACC